TTATAAGTTACCATTTGTTTCAATTCCATTGAGGTATTTCTTTAGTAATCATAAAAGCGCTGTTGATAATAGAGCTTTTGTTTGTGAAGCTATCGAGCTATTGTTGTTGGCGGGTAGTGCGGTGGAAGTCAAGCGTGACCAAGTTCATGTTTGCAGTCCCTTAGGTGTAGTTCCTAAAAAGAATGGCAAACGTTGATTGATTCTCGACCTTCGCTTTCTTAACAAGCACCTAGCCAAGCGTAAGTTTAAGTTTGAGGACCTTCGAGTCGTGGCGGAAATTCTTCAGCCAGGTGATTGGTTTTTTACTTTCGATCTTCGTAATGGCTACCATCATGTTGACATTTTTCAAGAGCATTGGAAGTATTTGGCTTTTTCGTTTACTTTCGATGGTAAGCCACGCTATTTTTTGTTTTGTTCGCTTCCTTTTGGTTTAAGTATGTCTCCTTACGTTTTCACCAAATTGTTAAGACCAGTTGTTTCACACTGGCGGTCACAAGGCATTAGGATTTCTGTCTATTTGGACAACGGTATCGGCACCGATTCAAGTAAAGATTCGTGTTCTCAGGAAGCGCAACTTGTGCGAGGCGATCTTTATCGCCTTGGCCTGCTAGTGAATGAGGAGAAGAGCAATTTTGAACCGTGCCAAAAAGGGGAGCACTTAGGCTTTATTTTGGACCTTACCAAAGGAGAATTTAGTATCCCACCAGGCAAGATTGATCACCTGTTTAATCTGATTTCACTGCTTCTTGACGATGTTTCACCCATGGCTAGGGATGTGTCTCATATTACGGGTACCCTTATTTCCATGGAGCTCGCTTTAGGTCCAATTGTGCGTTTGCGCACCCGAGCCTTGTACGCAGTCCTTAATAGCGTTCATTGCCTTAGCTGCAAGGTGGCTTTAACGCGTGAAGCTGTAGAGGAACTTTATTTTTGGAGAGATAATTTCTTTCGTTTGTGCGGCAAACCAATCTGGAGGCCCTCCCCAAAGATAGAGCTTTTGTCTTATTCGGATGCCAGCAATGTGGGTTGGGCGGGATTTATTGTTCAATTCGGTACGCACATCGCTATAGGGAACTGGTTGGGTTCCGAGGCCCTATGCAGCTCTTCTTTCCACGAGATTCATGCAATTAGATTTGTTCTTCAGTTGTTTTCCGGTCTTTTGGCGGGTAAGGAGTGCAAGCATAGATCTGACAATCAGAGCGTCTGCAGTATTTTGTCCGTCGGCAGTAGTAAGCCTCATTTGCAAAAAGAAGCCGTTGCCATTTACAGTTTGTGCCATGAAACCGGTATTCGCTTTTCTGCGGAGTGGATACCTCGCTACTTTAATTTCAAAGCTGATTATTGGTCGAAAGTTGTTGACACCGATGATTGGATGCTCAACCCTGTCCATTTTCGCCAGTTGGATATTCTGTGGGGACCCCACACTGTAGATCGTTTTGCGAGTCATAATTCTTTCCAGTTGCCCAGGTTTTGTTCTCGGTGGTGGTGTCCTGGGACCGAAACTGTTGATGCTTTTACCGTCAGCTGGGGAGGGGAAAACAATTCGCCGGTAACAAAACGAAAAAGGGCCTGGGACTGAAACTGCGATCGCAAAGCATGCATGGATTGTTTGGCTGGACAGAAATCAAAATGGCGTCCATTGCGAATGATAGTAAGCTCTCAGAAACTAAAGAAGAAGGCTTTATTTTAACTGAAGACGATATACCTGGGGCTGTTTTGCCAAACAGAAATGTAGAGGCATCCAGTGTGGTACAGCTAAAGCGCTGGCTGATTTGTAGGGGAGCGAAAACAAGTGGTAAAAAGTCAGCTTTAGTCAGCAGGTAAAGGGTCAAATTCAGCTTTTTCGTAGCTCTTTCTTTTGCTTACATAGAAATCATTAATATTTCTGATGGAAAACATATTCACTTAAAGATTTTATAAATTAAATCGTCTGCTTAGAACTCCATTAACATTATTTAAAATCGTTTTGCATAGGGTAAAACACTATGTAGAAAATGGCCTTGACAAGAAATATCTTAGAGACCCCGACAACGGCGCTAATATTATGAAGAAAAAAGCAGATCTTGGTTTGCTTGATAAGAAAGAGCCTCAAACAAATGGAAAATTTCCAAAAGAAGGTTTCAACTCTGATCTCAATGCTCTCCCTAAAGTATCATTTGGAACCATCTGGCGTTACATGATCGACTCAGTTGACTCAAAAAAACAACTCTCAACTGCTAAACCTCTTGTAAAGGGGTTCAATTTTTATAAGTCTGGGAACGTACATTCTATTCACCATTTAAAGGAAAGTGGGAAGCACTTTATAAAGAGCCAAGTTCTCCCATCAATGAAAAAGAACTTAATATACCAATGTCAAATAGTAATGTCAAGTATTGGAGGAGTACTCAAAGCATATTGTGGTTGCCCAGCAGGAATAGACGGAAGATGTAATCATGTGTCTGCAACTCTCTTTGCCTTGGATGAATATTGCAAAGAAAGAGAAAAGATCTCCATAGAATCATGTACTTCTAAACCATGTAAATGGAATATCCCAAGGAAACGAAAAGGTCCTGTATCACCAATCTCAGCCATGTCATTTCATAAACATGACTACAGCAAACAAATTAAGACTGACAGAACACCAAATATCAAGAAAGGGAAAGATGTTCGAGCTATACATCAGAGAGAGTGGTCAGATGCCAAAGTGAACAATATGTTACAAACTATCAAAGACTATCAAACCAAAAGTGGTAACATTGTTGGCTGGAGTCACATACTGCCACAAGAGGTTAAAGAAGAAGACACCATTGTTTCGCCGCTCAAAGTCCTTCCACCATCCCTAAGGGAAATAAGTGAAAAATGCAAAGAAATTGAGAAAAAGTTGAATCTAGAGGAAAAGGAAATTACCAAAGTTGAGCAAAAGACTAGAGGACAATCAAAGGACAAGCTTTGGAATTATCACAGAAAGTGTAGAATAACAGCTTCGAAATGTTACCGGGTTGCCTCTTTGAAGCCCACTACATCACCAACAAGGCACTTGCAGATGTCTTACAGTATAATAAACAGTATCAGAGTTTTGCAATGAATCAGGGTTTAGAGAAAGAAGAAGAAATTGAAAGATTATATGTTACATCTAAGCATAACTCAGGCTACAGGAATCTTTCAGTTGAGCCATGTGGGCTTTTTATAAGCCAAAGCCATGGTTTCTTAGCAGCCACCCCTGATGGTCTAGTGTCAGATCCTCATGTTTCCCAACCACTTGGACTTCTTGAAATGAAATTGATACAGTTAAATGACAGTGAGAGTCTTAGACAAGGTCTGCTTCAAAGAAGAATATGTAAGGACTGTGGTGACAACCATCTAAAGATGAACACTGGACATAAGTATTTCTATCAAATACAACAACAGATGTTTGTAACCCAGCGTTAATGGACAGATTTTGTAGTCAAGGGATCAACAGGAAATGAGCTATACATTGAGCGAGTCAACTTCAACTCTGAGTTTTGGGAAAGTGTTCTTCCTAAACTTTGCAATTTCTTTCAACAACAAGTTTTACCAGAGATGTCATATCCTCGAGTCAAATATGGGTTAGCAAGATGTCAGTTGAGATTTGAATAGACTGTGCCTAAATTGATTTAAATGAATTCATTTAGAACAGTGTAAAGAAAACCTTGCAGTCTTGAATATAAGTTGCACAATTTTAATTATCTTGGACATAATGGGTCTACATGTAGTGTAACCTTTAAAAAGGCTAAAATACTAACAAAAATAACAGGCACTATTTATTGAAATAAGTGGCTTTTAAATACCTGTGCAGTTATTGTAATTTCAAAGTTTAATAAACCACAATAGTTGTCACTGGACAAAAGAATACAAAAGAGGCAAAGTATAATATATTTAGTTATAGTTAAAGTTAATGCATCAAAGTGTAGACTGCACATGTGTGGAAAACAATTTAAAGATTTATCAGATCAAAACGTCAAGCAAATATATTATCATGTAATGTATTATATTCTGCAGCTTTTGTTCATTTTTAGAATAAATAGTTTTGTTTCATTTTGCTTTGTGCTCAATCCTGAACAGTTTAATGACAGTACCATATATTTAAAGTGGTCTCTGTCAATTGCATTTGTTTTATAGCAAGACTAAAAACTATTCTGGTCCAGTGATATCATTAATTTGTCACTACATACTAAATATTTGTCAATCACTATTTAATATCATTTCAAAGTTCGTGTTTTTGCTCTATCTTACACCTTGGGTGCATTTCATTATAAGAGTGAAACATGCACTAATTTGCACAATTTTGCTTTCAAAGTGTTTCACACATCAACAATGAAATGCACTCTACCATGAACATGTACAAAATCTAATTAGTCTATTAAGGGAGGAAGAAAATTTGATAGAGCAGCCACCACAATTAATATATCAGAGGCAACAGGTGACATTGAAATAGGAATTTTACAATAAAAAATATGCCAGTTTTTAATACGTCCCATTAACCTTTCCACGTGGACACGGAGACTTGCAATTGTTTTATTATGTTCTGTTTCTTTGGTAGAAAATTGCTTTTTGTCTTTTAGAAAATTAGGTTTAACTAGCACAACTCCAACTGATGCTAACTCATCTTGACAATTAAACCCCTTATCAGCCATTACCTCGTCACCTCTTTTAAGTTTGCCAAGAAAGCCACTTTGCATTGTTATTTCTAGATCAGAAGTACTTCCTGGAAATAGTTCACTAACAAAACAGACAACTCCACTTGGTGTGATTCCTAATAAAGCTTTCATTGTGTTACTGCTCTTATAGGATGAATAGCAGGCAGATTGGGCATCGAGTGACGATGGCTTTTCCATCTGGAACTCAGTGCAGTCTACAATGACAACAGTGTCAGGACAGATTTCTTTGAAGACTTTCGGCATATGAAATTTCAAAACATCATCAGGTGGTATCTGTATAAGCGGCTCGAACTCTGACCTCAAAAATCTCAGCCATGAGTTAGTTATCCTTGAAACAGACATGTGAGAAACATTAAACCTATGGCCCAAGTCTCTCTCAAACAATCCCAGTCATATTCGCACCAAAGTCATTATGAATTCCTGGAATGTTGATAGTGCTCTAGGTCTGCCAGGTTGTTTTGTACTTTCTAAGTCACAGTATATTCTTTCATAATTGTAGCTTATATTCTTAGCTGAGTCTTTCACTAGGTTGTAACACATCATTAACATTTCATAATCAGAGAGTCCAGTGTAGAATGCAATGTCATCAGGATTATCTTTGTACTTCTCAATATTAAAAACTTCACTATTACTTGAAATAAAGTTCAAATGTTTGTTTTCTTTTGTTCACTGGTCACATTTATCTCTCAATTGTTTGTTTTCCTCCTTGAGTTTAGATACCTCATTCAATACCTCTTCCAATGATGCCAAATCTATGTCAGTTTGAGTGTGTTTAGAAAGATATTGATGTTGTTCTTCTCGAAAATTATTCAGTATTTCCTCAGGTTGAACTTCTCTCGTATAGTATGGATCCTCGTGCAGTGATTCAGTCGAGGTCGGTGTTGTTTGGGTTACAATGTTGGCATTGTTGTCAGAGTAACTGCTGTCAGTATCAGTAGTAGATACAACAACTGATGCGACTTTCCTTTTCTTTGGCACAAAGTCATGCTTAAAGATTTCTCTCCTTGATTTTCTCTCTTTTGTTCATGGAAATAATGTTGGCAGATGATTTCTGCTGAGTTTTTGGCCACCTTCAAAGTGTTCAGAACAGATTCTCGTTTGGGAAGAATCCAGCTTTAGCGATTCGTTTCTAAGCGATACTTTGTAGTATTTCCGAGCCTTTTCGCACTTGGGAATCCTGTAATATTCCAGATTTGGTTTGTTTCTAAAGTTGTTGGTACACTGGGGCACACAACAGCTAAAATGATGTGGCATTTTCCTTCAAAACAGCTTTGAATTAGTCTCTTTTGAACAGGATAAATTACATCACATGTATGTCAACATGTCTTCCTGTCCAGCCAATCAATCCATGCATGCTTTGCGATCGAAATTCGGTCCCAGGCCCTTTTTCGTTTTGTTACCGGCGAATTTGTTGGTCCCCCCAGTGTTCCTTATTCCCAGGGTTATCAATCACATGAAGCTGGGTAGAGAGCAGGGCACTCTCATTATCCCCTTTTGGCAGTCTGCTCATTGGTGGCCGTTGGTGTCTCCAAGCCCCGGGGTTTTCCACCCTTTTGTTCTTGACTGGCAGGAGATTCCTTTACATGAATCTACTTTTCTCCCTGGTTCCGCAGCCGCGGATCTTTTCGGGCATGGCATTCCCTCATGTAGAGTATTTGCTTTGAGAATTGTGTTTCCTTAGCTTTGCTGTAGAACATTTTTTCGGGTATTAGATGAGTACCTTGAACGAGTTGTTCATCCTAATTATTTGTTTTTGTTCTATCTGAGCCTCTTTGGCCTAGGTGTGGGCCTTTGCTCTTTTGCAAGTCAGTGGACTTGGAACTGTACTAGTACGCACGAGTTGTGCAGCTGAAGCAAGCCGAGAAGCACTGCCGACTCAGTAGTGTGTTCGTTTTTAGAGTCAAGTGGACTCCTCTATCCTTTGTGTGAATTTGCTTACCAGTTGACGCCGAGTGGGCCAAGCCTCCTTGTGCTGGAGTGTGTGCTGGTGCTGTGTTTACTTGCCATGTGGGCAGTTTCTCATAGCAGACGATGTGTTTCTTGCGCGTTTAGTGTTCTGTAGCGATTGGATGTTGTTCCTGTTTTTAAAATGCCATGTTTTGGACATTGTTGATTTTCACTTTAGGCTTGTCGCCTTACCAACGGAGCAACGCGGAGATTCAGAGGCTTGTAGAACTGTTAAAGACTGTCATACTTAATGACTGTGCCGTTTCAACCGTGTCTTCGTATGCAGGGGCAGCCAATCGATGGATTGACTGGTGCAAGTGTTACTCGTTTCCTCCTTTACAGTCTAACCCAACCGCAGTTGCTCTCTACTTAACAAGTCTTTCAGACCAAGGCTTATCTCGCTTGTCAATCCTTGGAGCAGCTTATGGCATTGCATGGCTACATAAGAAACTTGGATGTCCTAGTCCTGTCGACGATCCGCTCGTTTCTCAGACCTTGGCTGGCTTTAAACGCCTCCTGGCTGGTCCATCTAGGAAAAAGCAGCCTATTGAATCTCATCACGTCAGGGCGCTGATTCGTTCCTATGGTCACCCTCGTGCTTCTCTACCGAACCTACAAAGGGTGTCACTAGTTGCGCTTCGTTTTTGTGCTTTCCTACGTTGGTCAGAGCTGCGTGACTTACGTGCCTGTGACTTAAGGTTTTGCGCCACCCACATGTCTATTTTCCTGGGCAGGCGTAAGAACGATCAATTCCGTCAGGGATCTGTGGTTAAAGTTGCTCGTTTACCTTCCAGCTCTTGTCCAGTGAAACTGTTAGAGTTATTCCTTGAGCGCGGAGAGCATCAACCATCTCAGTCTTTATTTTGTCTCTGCCAGAAATTGGGTGCCGGGTACAAGCTGCGACAAGCTGCTCTGTCATATTCTCGGGCACGGGAACAGTTTCGTCAAATGATTTCCGAACTTGGTTTGGACTCGAACAAATTTGGTTTACATAGCCTTCGTTCAGGTGGTGCTTCCCAAGCAGCACGCAGCGGAGTTTCTGGGAGAGTATGGCGTAGACATGGTGGTTGGCGCAGTATCCAAGCCGCAGATGGTTATGTCGATGAATCTTTGGAAAATACCCTTGTGGTGTCTAGAAATTTGGCTCTTTAATTTTCAGTATGTGATTTGCTTGATAAACATTGCGCGAGTTGTGTTGTTTGTTGCAGTATGGAGGGATTTACATTTGCCCAATTAATTCTGATGGCCTAACGTTGCTCGATGACACAGAATCCTTGCCGCAGGTGGATATGCTTAACAATTTTTGGACAGTACCCTTATGGTATCCAAGCGATTAGCTGTCTATTATACTGTAAATATGTTTGCTTAATGAACATTGCCTTATATTGTATCCTTATATGCTTTTGCCACTGATTGTGAATTGTCTGCTTATCCCGCACCGCATTTCTGGTTGTCAGTTTTTTGGGTGCGGGGAATTCAAGAATTGTTCATTTATCTTTGCCTGAATGTAGCGAAGCGTAATGAAACAAAAGATAAATGGTTTCTTGAATTCCCGAGCACGAGCGCATTTGTTGGCAGTGTGTTTTAAGTGCCGGCGTGAGATTATGGGAAAGAAGTGTGATATGTAAACTAGCAAGTATATATTCGCTGAACAGTAAACAAGTTTCATTGTGGATTTTTACAAGCGGACAGTTAAATTTTGTTCTTTTTTATTTTTTGGTTGGAATCCTGTAATCCATTTCCTCGTAACGATTTTTAGTTGTGCTTTCCTGATGATTGACAGTCATTATAAGTGGTTTTGTTTATTCAATTTACTTTGGCCGCGTCGAACGTATAGAGTTTGTTTAATTTTTTGGTGTCTAAACAGTGTAAACAGTTGTTTTTGTCTTGTGATTAGTTGGTTAGTTCAATAAATGGGCTAAGAATTGTCTGCTTATCCCGCACCGCATTTCTGGTTGTCAGTTTTTTGGGTGCGGGGAATTCAAGAAAATCATAATAATAATAATAATAATAATAAATCTGGGATGTACCAGTATTTGCAGGAAATACGGAAGTAAGAGCCAACCGAATAGATGTCAGGATAGTTGAAAAGGAGACAGAAACAGTAAAGATCATAAAGATGAGTTGCCCCTGGATAGAAAACAGGAAGCAGAAGAATCAAGAAAAGACCACCAAATATGCACCCTTAAGATGGGAACTCAAACAACAGCACAAGGGCTACACCATCAAGCAATATAACATCATTATAGACGTTTTAGGAGGATATTCGTCAGAAACGAGAGCGAATGTTATACTACTTCTTGGCAAGACAAAAGCTGACAAGACCTTATTTAACATGCAAAAGGCAGTAATATCAAGTACACTGAACATTACCAGATCATTTAAAGTACTTTCATAATAGTTCATTTCAACAAATAAATCCTTATAAAAACATATCATATTAATCAAGTTTTATAATATTTTTATGAAAAGTCTTATTAGCTAATTACTTAAATATAAACATTTTTATATCTTTTAATATTTTAAGAATTTCAAAAATTTTTTGTTTTTGTTTTTGTTTTTGTTTTGTTTTGTTTTGTTTTTGATGGACAAAAGCAAACAGTTATGGACACTAATTTTTTAATGAATATAAACAAATTAGATTTATAGTTTTAGATTTGTAAATATATATTTATAGGTTTTGTTTTCTCGGCCACAGCTGACCTGCCCGACTTTAAGTAATCATGCCTAGGCATACTTAACTATACACTGCCACATAATAATAATAATAATAATAATAATAATAATAATAATAATAATAATAATAATAATAATAATAATAATGACTTTATTGGATGACACAATTACTGATAGAACCAGTAGTTCTCATTGTGGTCCAGTCACCAGTCGATGGTGACTGTTGCAGCACCTATGATTTTCATGGTAAGAATTGATTGCATTTTCCTCCATTTTTCTTAACTCCAATTCATAAATTGACAAAATGATAAACTCTACAAGTGCATGAACAAATGTCATTTTGTCACAAGGCTTTACTTCCACAGAACTTGATCCTCAGATCTTTAACACCTTTTTCATGTCTTTGCCAATGCAGACCTCCCTGCTGGTTAGTAAATATGCAGTAATGTTATGTATTTTATGTCATATTAATTTTATGCACTCTTTCATTCATTATTTTGATAGAATACTATAGGAGATTCAACTTGATGTGCATCTCATTCATGCATTTTTAGCAATGCATATTGAACCTGTGGTTAAATTGCAGGTAGTTTAGATGATGGAAAAAGCTTAAGGCAGGTGATTTCCAATGTGGAATCATTTTATGGCCAGGACATCAACAGTCCAATATAGCAACAGTCCTTGGTGGAGCTGCTATGGCTTTCTGGTACCAACAGCTT